CACTCAAGGAGAGCTGTAACAAAACAAAATGCATAAATAGTATATATACTAGAACTGCAGTCAATTACTTTTAAAATAATAAAATTATTACTTCAATCTTTGCCTTGTCGATTATATATCAAATGAAGAATAAGGAACTTGTGATGCGTGCATAACGGTGGTCAAAAAATCTTGTTTTGTGCATAAAGACCATTATGAGCTACAATGTCTCGTATGGAATTTTACATGGGAAGAGGCATAAGCTAGGAAGCGTTCTGATGGCTTCAACGAGAGGTATAATATACGAAATTGGAGGAATGAGCGCAGCAGTTATGCGGTTCTGAATCTATATGGTTCGCAGATGTCAGTCTATATATACATTTGATTTATGTCATATTACATATTAATGCAAGCTCCTTACGAACATATTATCTAGCTCTTTTCAAAGCTATGAGCTTAGAAGGGTGACATTTTTTCTACAGCAACTACATAGTCTCATATAGCGACTATATGACGCTATCGCAAGTACGAATCTATCTGCCACCGTCTGAGGAAATTAATCCATACCAGTGTATTAATTCGCATAGCAGCAGAAACTGGTATAGACTGTAGGTGATTCTCCGTTCAGTCCAAACGTATAATCTGTTATTTTTACTTCATTATCGTTTAAGTTTCTGTCTGCCAAAGCAACGGTAAACCAAATCCTGCAGTAGTCAATGCAAAGAATTAAGGTTAAAAGTAAGCTTAGTGGTAATGCGGTAAAGCCAAGATATTACCAGTTTGAACTGAAGCGCGAATCAGTTTCAGTCATACCGTTATGAACTGATTCCCACTTTTGACGGTAACAAATTATTCGCGGACGTCTGTGTAACCTCTGCTTGATTACCTTATTCTATATATTACGTAATAGCCATTTGTGAATACACCATGAAATTTATCGAACTTGGATTTATTTCAAAAAATAACGCTTCTACCTTATGAGCGTTTGTATCATTTATACATTTTCTATTATCAGCAACTGCGTGATAGCATCAATTCAGATTATTGCCCCTGCGCAGGATTCACTGTTTTACGTTAAGCAACTGTATCGCATATTCACAGGTATATGATCCGAAAGGCACTGACCAAAATCAACAGAACAATTTCATTTCTGCACAGAATCACCAGATGGCCCAGTCTGATCGGAATGAAGGAACGAACGTATTTTATTGCTTGAATATACGCAACATGACCGAACGTTCAGCGCGACCTCCGCTATTCTCTACTCGATACCTCTTTCTAACACGTTTTAACTGCTGCCTTGTTATTGTGTTAACCAAGTAGGAGTAATGACGCAAAAAAACTGTCCTCCCCCAGCATAAAATTTATCTAAACAGACGAAAACTCAATGGAAGCAGTATAGTTTCAGTGAAGTAGCTATTTTTTCAAAGAATTTTTCAAGAGGATCTGAACATTAGCCTTGGATTAAAGTAAGTACTCAAATATCAGTTTATTTGATTATTTCAATAATCTATTCAAAAAACTAATATTTGTAAACTTTAATCAAAAACTGGTTCAAAGATCCCTGAAAAACCTTTTTTGTACAACACATGCTACTCTGTAAATCAGTTCCTCATTGTTATGGTATTTAATGTACAAAAACATTGCTTCATTTTGCCATTTAACAAATTGGCGCCAAACCACGTAGGTATGTTATAATATCTCTATTGGTAGGGTCATTCACAATATTATAATTCCTCCCCCTGCTTCCTGATACTCGTTTAGTAAGACGGTAGTAAATGACAAAAAATAAGTTCATTGATATGCAGCAAAAATCAAATCATAGTGGTGACAGACAGGCACCTGCGAATTTAGATTCGAACTAGCGGCCACAATACGTATGAACGTCGCCTATCACCCCTACGTCCATAAGTAAAACATTAGCGGCAAAAACTTTTTCCTCGTTAATCATTTTTAGTCGGTTTCATTTTTGCAGTTGGTTTGTCATAACGTTATGAAGAAACGCAATCGTTTTCCTCGCACAGTAGCAAACAAGTGCCGTGAAGCGATAATACACTTTGCTGTGACAGAACAATTTA